CGGCCAATCACAACGCACTGGATAGCTGGCCAATCACAGCACACCTCGCTTTTCAGACCGATGAGCTTTGTAAAAATCGACGCGTTTCAAAAAGGCGGGGCATAGAGGAGAAACAATAATGTACAGTATGTGGAAAATAATGTGTTTTTTGAACCTTAAACCGCATAAACACATTTCATTACACCAAATACACAAAATAATGTTCTTTTTAGCAACATCATATTACCCCTTTAAATTTCTAGATCGCTTGAAGCGAAATAAAGAGTGATGCCAGATCACATTTTCATTCATTTATTAAAAACTTTCAACGTTGGTTTACAAAAAAAAAAAAAAACAGCTTATATTAGAAAAGCTCAAATTAAATTTTCTGGTACAGTAACTACACAAAAAGCATTACAATAAATTTCATTGGCTAGTTAACAATCTCTTTTGGATTGTTTTTACAAAAACAATAAATTAAATGCATTAACAATTATTACTCTTTATAAACTCTTTAGTCAACTTCCTCCATTCTAGAACTGTCTTCATCACCTTCCAGAACTGGCATATCTTCTTCAGCGGGTTGAGTAATGTCTTCTACGGTAGAGTTATCATCATCAATGCCTGAAAGAGAAGAGATTAAATATAATTAAGTCATTTTTTTCCAATGAAATTTCATTTAAGACTACACCCTTAAAAATAAAGGCCATAGAAAAACCATTTTTGGGTTCCCAAAGAACCTTTCATTGGACAGTTCTTAAAAGTACCATTTTTTTTATTCGTGTGAAGAAAATTTTAATGTTCTAAAGAAACTTTTTTCCATTAAAAAGAACATTTAGTGCAATGGAAAGGTTCCATGGATGTTAAAGGTCCTTCCTGGAACCATCAAAGCCAATAAAGAACCTTTAATTTTAAGAGTCTAATAGTGGACCATATGTTTTAGTGGATAATTCTTAAAGGGATAGTTCACCCAAAAATGAAAATGTGATGTTTATCTGCTTACCCCCAGGGCATCCAAGATGTAGGTGACTTTGTTTCTTCAGTAGATCACAAACTATTATTTTTAACTTTAACTGTTGCAGTCTATCAGTCGTATAATGCATTGCGTAGTTTACGCAAGCGCCGGAAGTGAGCTCTCGCTCGTATACGTCACTCATTTTTTACACAGTGCACAGTCATTGTAGGTACGACGGCTAATCAAAATGGTACTTACTTGCGCTTATCCGGATTGCTCAAACCGACTTAAAACTAAAAGATTATGTTCTCTCGCGCGAACTCATTCGGGAGTGGTGACTTTCCACGTATTCCCAACTTCTGAGCCTGCTCGCCTGAAGTTATGGTTGATTGCTCTTCGGCTGGATATCAACACACCCATTAACGTAAACTACGCCAGAGCGCGTACACACCTCACGCACCGGATGCCGTGCACACGCCCAAAGACAGTTGGACATAGTGGTGTATTAGAGGTAAAATATGATATAAATACTGTTCGGTTTCTGGCACAAACTGATCGTTTTGTGTCTTAGGACATCAATGTGTCGTCACAAGCCGCAGGGTTTAATTTGGATTTGTCTGTGCATGTTTTTTTTACTCTCATAGATTTTGTTACCATTGCCATG